CTTGAGGCAGACAGCGGGCTTTGCTGTGTGACTTCTTTCATATTAACATTACAAACTGCACACTTGTAATGTAATGTTGTATTGTATTGTATTGTAATGTAATAAATAAATTGTAATGTTGTACTTTTAATCACACTTTATTCGCCAAACTCATCAACTTAGCTTAAATTAAAAAAAATACAATTTTTCAGTTATTCTACACAAATGCTTTTTAAGCAATATTTATTAAATGATAAATATATTACAAATTAAAAATGAGATCACAATTAATAACTTAGTCTTAATAAATTGACTGAAAAAAATATCACCAACAATGGAATTAAATCATAATAAATGGTAATAAATATTAGACAGGTAGAATATTTTTCATGGTGACCACGGCAATTCCCATTGGAATACATCATATTGTCCGTAATAGTAAAAACCACTGACTGATTAGCTTTGGAATGTTTAACTAATACAACACACAAATAAATGCAAATAATTATATCAGTCGAAAGAACTTACTGAAAGGGAATACTTACCCTTTTATAGAAATTCGGTATATATATTTGGAGATACCAGTTTATTTGACTTACTCGTATTGCGGTAAAGCATAGTTTTAGGTGCAAAGAACAAAGCACCAGGGACTTCCTTTCTAGGGTACACCTGGTTCCCCGGCTATTAGTACCCGAGACGGCGTGCGGTTTTAGTCGGTTCGAGTCCGACATGCTACCGATAGGTGGTATCCGAGGGAATTTCCGCACGGAAAAAAAAAGGTGCAAATAACAAAAACTTTGTACATTTTCAAGAACATTAAAAGAGTGTTGCTATTTGTGGCGTTTAATAAATATTGTTGCATACCTGAGATGCGTTTTATAAATACATTTCTGCATAACTTACGTGAAATGATTTATATCGTAAACACACCAACGCTTGCTTTTATCAAACATAAATATATTAGTTTAAAACTGAGGATGACGTCATACTTTTGGATTATTTAGATTACATTTTTTTAATGGCAACACTGCGCAACTGCAGTGTTTAAATTGTTTATCAAAACTTTGATCCTGATTCGTGGATACTAATGCTAATCTGTTAGAATGTCAATATTATTTATAAGATATATCACAAAAAAATACAGGTCATATTAAAATATTCGACAAAACTTACAATTTACAAACTTAAACATATTCAATTATCGGATCTCGCATAGTTTTTTCGGTGAAACAAAAAACTGTTTAATCCGCAGTTTTTCAAGACCGAAGAACGTTTCTAAAGGTCCTTTTAAACAGGAAATATTCCTTATCTAAGAATTACTTTACGAAAAGAACAAAGAAACAAAAAAAAATAAAGTGACCTAACAAATAAAACAGATAATGAGTTTCTTAAAATAGCCTCAAGGCGATCAGGAAGCCAAGGTCACATGTTTAAATTAATGTATAAAAAAACTAAAAAACACAACAAAGCGTGGGGTGTTTTTTACTATTGACAACAGGCACCCAAAGCTTTTTTTCAAATTTATTTTCTATTTTTTAGTTTGGTTTTCTATAGAAAGCGTGTTTTTTAGTTTTTTAAAACTATATTTTTTTTTATTAGTGTATTGTCATCGGTCCTCGATATATCTACAAAGTTTGAACGAATTGTGACCGTTTAAAGTCAGTCAAAATCACGCCCAAAGGAGTCGGTTACAAACATACAAGTGAAGCTAATATAAAGCGTGTAAAAAGGGGTGGTGACACTCCGTATCCTTAATGGGCTGCGGTACCTCACTCATTAATTATGATTATGTCATCAATGGGTAAGTTGTAATAACACCTGGTGTTCAGCTGTTTAATGGCCAACATTTATAGATCTGTCTGATACTGTCGTACTCGTGCTCCGAATAACAATATATTGAAACATGTGTCACATACAAAACTGAAGATTTATGTGTATTTTAATGCATTGTGTATATTTTTATTAAATATAAATGGGGCCCATCTTGAAAGCAAACAATTAAATTAAATTAAGAAATATATTCTTAAACATTAGACGATTAAACATTAAAGTCGAAATAAGAACTTCCGTTTTGAAATCGACTAAAATCGTGGCAGGTTTTGTCTTGTCAGTAATGTTGATTTTATTTATTTATTTTTTATTTATTTATTTATTTTCTTTAAAAACAATTAAACAATTTATAAAAACAATAATAATAATAATATAATTAATAATTAATTAATTATATAATATAATTTTTTTAAAACAATTTATTTTTATTTGCATCTGTCTAGTTTGGGATCAGCTGCAGTTCGTGAGATGTGTGAAGTTATTTTTATTATTCGTATTAAAACAGAGTGATACTTTACAACTGTGATATCACTTTTACCACAATGACTATAGTAACATTATTTAATCTTAGATACGTCATTTTTTTTTTTCAAGACAGCACCCGCCTTATGAATATATCCTGTGTCACAGGGGACTTTTACAAACATACATGAAACACAAAGAACACCCAGACTCAGAACAACAATTTGTGGATCACACAAAGTGTCGTCCCATGTCCCCACATGGGACGACACTTTGTGTGATCCACAAATTGTCGGACCCACAACACTCGGCGTAGTAGTGAGCGGCGTGGCGACCGCTTAAACCACTACGCCATCCGTGCAGTTACATAGTTATACTACACTCGGAGACAGAACACATGGTCGTATCACACTACAAGTTTACGGGCGGCAAACCCACTCAGCAGTTAGAACCGATACCAACAGAGTCAAAAGACCAGTCAACAAAAAAACCTTTGTTATTCTACTCTAATAATTTACGACTGAATCTGTAGTGGCTATGAGGCTTTTTAGCCTGTTAACTTTTATTTGCTTAGTTACTTGTAATGATAAAAAAAGTTATATAAAACTGAAACGCAATTGTGTGTAACAAAATTACATTTAACTTATGTTTGCAAGTGTAATCTATGATGTGTATCGTGGAAACTGTATTTGCTTTGTAACACGGATGTATACCACTTCTGAATATCTAACTTTGTCAAATCTAACTTGTACTTACGGGTTAAAATTGTTATTGATATGTGACAATCGACTGATTTCACATAGAACTAATAAAATTGTACCTCAAAAGAAGGATCTTTTGAGGTTAATTAAATTTTGAAAAAGGACATTTGACAAGGGACAAATACGATTTCAAACAATTTTATTTCTTTTTATGAAAAAGAGTGAGTATGCTCATCAACATAACAGTAACATAGATTCCTAGGTTTAAAATAAATTATTATGCCTGAATAATTAAAAACTAAATCTTAAATAACATACTGAGTTAGCTTTGTCTTGTTTTTATATCTTTAAATCAAGGTATGACGTCACGCCACAGTATTTCATACAAAAATGTACGACATCTAGCGTTTTGACTTTAAATAAAAATATTCTATTTGGACTTGACAGTCTTCTGCTATTGATGTAGCTGTCGGGTTCATAAAGCCTTAAAAACGGTACAATAACTAACATTATAAACTGTTCTACTTAGTTCGCTAGGTCTTTATGAGATGGCGCTAGTAGTAACTCCAGTTGTTCGAAACAGTTGAACATATACTGAACTTATTGCTCTTATAAAAAGGTACTTTATAATTATGACTGAATACTTGTTGCAATTATATAAGAAAAAATAAAATTGTAAATATTAGAGATAATTTTGTCATCATCAATTCATTTTGTACAATATTTTGTGAAGGGTAAATATTATTGTACAGAATTCAGGAACTTACATACAACTGTTAGCTTATTTTATTTTTTACTATTAGATTATATCAGTATTTGCATTTTCAGGTACAAATATACACATACAATACATATTAAAAACTTAAAACGAAATGATTATTTTTGTAGGTCCAAGCCTAAAATTTTTGTAGTCATTTTATTTTATAACTCTTGTTTAACTTTGTTGATTTAAGGAACTTAAGAAAAAAGATAATGAATTTGATAAAAATGAAAAAGAATATACATGAGAGAGCAATGTGTTCAAAATTAAACTGTTTAATTTATTCAATAATATTAATATTTATATAAATAATTATGTTAATATTAGTATAATAATAAAAAAGTCACAATCAACCATAGACAATGGACAATTACTTCTTTTGACTATGGTGTAGGCGAAGTAATATGGGGCCAATCTGCGTCCAACATTGGACAAATCAAAGAGTTGGTCTTAGGCACTTTTTGCTTAAAGTTTGAACTTATTGTTGTGGGCCAATATTGGCCTCAAATCTGCTTTACATTGGTAATTCTGTAGTTAAAACTATGCAAGCATCAACTAATTTTTAATATTATTTCGGATATAAAAGCATGAAATTGTATTACATGACACTAATTAAAACCTTTCTGCTTAACAAGGTGTTCGGTGTAGGGTTCGAACCGGCTACAAATAAATCGCAAGACGTCTTATACATTATTTTACCGCAGTTTTTGGTATTGTACATAATTTCATTTTTAATTTTTACATATTTAGTAGCTGTTTTTGTTTATAAATAATATGGATGGACCAACTAAAAGCACTGCTCCAATGAGACACATAGGTTCAGTAAGTATACAAAAACATCATCGATGTAAACAATTTTTAGAATTTTGTTGATTTTAAAAACCCGCAGACCGATTTTAATAAAATTTTAATGGGACTACCTAGAAAGTATACACTTTAAAATAAAAAAAAGATTTTTCCAAATAGGTTCAGGCAACTTCGAGTAATCGGTCACCGATTACTCGAAGTTGCCTGAACCTATTTGGAAAAATCTTTTTTATACATATTTATACATACATATACATATTTAAAAAAAAGGTTCAGACGAATTGAGAACTTCCTTTTTTTTAAGTCGGTTAATAAATAAGGCTGGTTTTAATATTCTGTTTTGTGCTTCGTTTCTTATATCTAGGGAAGTACTAGTCGTCGTAGTCACGTGCGGGGGTCGCGCGGGAGTCGTCGGGTCGTTCGGTCACACTGTACAGTATAAAACGGTCGAACGTTACGTTTCAGAATGTCAGTACTGGTTCCTCGCGGTGGTCTAGGATATCTGAAATATATACACTTTTGATTTAGTTTTGTTTATGTTAGAAATGAAATTTGATTAAGTGTGTTAATTAATTTTGGAATTATTATTAATTTATGATTATTTTGGATGAAAGATCCCTGGTGATGAAGGACTACTGATTCTCACCCTTAGCGATGCTCCACCAAGGCAGCGTGACGTATGTGAGGTAGGCGTTGAGGGGGGTGGACTGCTGGCGCTTGCCCTCCTTCCACAGCGCGAAGGTCTGTGTGAAGCCGCGCATCGCCCACAGCGGGTTGTACGCGCCGTCGTCCAGCTCTGCACCAACAGACCAACACACTTACACACATAACCTCCGAGAGCAGGTTTTTAATTAAATATTAGTTACCTGTAAATCGACTGATGAGTATCTAATACTGTAAGACATTTGAATGAATGAATGAATGAATGAATCTACATTCACAACTCTACAGAGTACATATTATGAGCTTGTGATAAGAAATTAAGATCGTCATGCGTCGATACAGACGATAGGTGACTTTGAACATCTGTCAAATGATATTCTGAGGTGATAACATTCATGCACATCACTGGAGGGGGGCATCACTATTAACTTAAACGTATAGTCTACGGAGAGTCAATAACGTAACGTCAGTATTTTAAAAAATATACAGGTAAAAACAAAAATTCCTGGGATCTCCACATGATCTATGTATCGGAACTGACAGCTAGCTTCCTATGACCATCTCCAACTCCTGACATTACAAAAATTCCTGTACCTACCTTTTAATAATAGCTAAAATAAATAAATAAATTTAAACAGTTGAGATATAATTTCGTTAATCAATTTGTTGGACTAAGCAGTAACTGTATCGTGTCCTGTTTAGTGGCTTTGAAATCCAGTAAATCCGTAATGGTTTAGACATATATACATACATACATAAAGCCATATTAAAGAAACTTGCAGCGGTATAATATATTATAAGCATTTTTTTCGGTAGTTTTATGTTTGTGTTAAGGTTTTGTTACATAACATAACGGTTGTGTCGTTGGGCATACTGGTAATTTCGGTCTTCATTCGAAAACAAGTTTGCTGTATTCTACCTTTTTGAATAATGTGTATTTGAGATGAGTAAAAATGTGTGTACGTGTACGTGTGAGCCCGTAGGTGCGTACGCATGGTGGGCGGCGTGTGAGGTTTCTCTTGCGTTAGCATATTAATGGCAGTTAAGCATCCGTGTACTGGTTAGAGTATTTCGTGTCGGTGTCTCGTTCGTACTGGCTTATAACAAAAAGTGAAGTGTATGTGTGGTGAGGGGTGCGCGATGAGGCGTATGGCGTGTACCGGCGCGGCGACGTCTCCGCGGCGCATCGCACCAGTAGTAGATGTCGGTGCCGTCCGGCGTGGTGCGGCGCGGCGGCAGCGCCACGTCGCGGTACAGCGCCGACGCCACCCCGCGCAGCTTGCGCGGCAGCGTGCAGTAGGCCCGCGCGCCCCTGTTGGGCCCGCCGCCCTCCGCCTCGTCGGCCGGCAGCTCCTCCTCCCCGCACACGACTCGCGCGGCCCCGCCGCACGGCGTCCGCGTGTCGCCGCGAGGCGCGGGCGACTCCAGGGCCGCGGCGTCGGCGGCCAGCTCGCAGTCGGCGGGGGAGGGCGCGGCGGGGTCGAGGGCGGCGGAGCGGCGCAGCGGCGGCGGGCCGGGCGCGGAGCGCGCGCTGCGGCGGCGCGGCGTGACGGTGGCGAGGCAGGCGGGGGACGACACGTCGTCGGGAGCGCGGCGGTACACGTCCCGCATGTGCGGCGCGGCGCGGGGGCGGCTCGGCGCGGAGGAAGCCTGTGTGCGCCGCTCTACGAACAACACCGCGCCGTTAGCGACCCGAACTCGATCGCACGACTCGGCCGTGCTCAGCGTTGCCTGATATTTTAAATCTCGCGGTACGTTTCGGCCCTCCGAAATCAATCGACGCCTTTTTTAGTAAAAGAATGTATGGATTGTATTATCGGAAGTTTTTAATTCCGAGTAGCCTCGTGTGGACGGATACCGACTCTGACATTGAACGTATTCACCGTTTTGTTTTTGTATCTGGCAACGCTAGTCGCGCGATCGTTTCGCCTATTTTGCACATGTCTACTGGCGACTCTGATACCGAGCGTACGGCGTGCGACACCTGGCTTCCTCCGAGCGTCTACTCTACGTTCGTACGACACTAGCGCTGTGAACTACGACTACACAAACATGCGATACACAACATTGAACATAACACGTGCGAACAAGTCTAAAGGCGCTGTATTCTTATTATCTCCATATTTATTTTAAATATACTGAAAAAAAACCGATTGTATAAAAGCACAATAAGCTGTAATGTAGAACCACAGGCCACGTTAGACTTATTTGCAAATATCTACCAATAACATAAGCACGATAAACACACGATAGATACAAAAAGCACAACAAACAAACAACCAGCGATCCCGTGTCCATTGCCAACTATATCTAAACTAGAACTACAAATTCTATCAATACCATTCAATAAGTTTAATAATACCTACATATAAACAAGTCGTGTTGTGTAAAAATTTAGCAAGTCGTTGACCGAGTGCCTTCAATGTTATATTAATGTACACAAGCTGTTCCATTGAAGGCCCTTCTCGACTCCACGGAATTTCAATAAGCGTTTTAAAAATTTAAACATGTACGTAGGTATTTAGTGATTAATTGTGTTACACAATTGCTATGTATCCTAAACGAGGCAATGAACACGGCTGTGGGGGCTCACATACATTATTAATAACCCTTGGTTTTATAACACATTTTATATACTGTACATAGGTACATCAGAAATATTTAATGTTAATTTTCAACATCTTCACACTATTTTTATGCTATAAAGGCAAAGTAACGCGTTTGAAACCTATTTTTTTTTCAAAAATCTTTAAAAGGTATAAGTTATGTCATAAGTATAAATTAAAACCTCCTTTTTAAGAAGAGGCCTATGTCCAGCAGTGGATTATTATAGGCTGTTAATTGATGTGAAGTATAAATTAAAGTGTTAAAAACCTACCGATTTTCTTAAAGGGAATACTCTATTTTTAGTAATAATAAATCAATATGGATTTTTAGCAAATAGACAGAGCATATTGTTCTACACAGGTAATACTAATATTTTGAATATAATCGTATCGTTCTCACTTAATGTAAGTGACCACATATTTCTTACTTTAATTGAAAACATTCTTGTAAGATCTTTATATATATAATTCTTCTGTGAGTGTGTATGTCACTGAACTTCTCCCAAACGACTGGACCGATTTTGATGAAATTTTTTGTGTGTGTTCAAGGGGATCTGGGAATGGTTTAGATTCACAATTTTGAATGGTAAGGGTGACCCATCCCTATTTTTTTTTTGTTGCAATACAACGTTTGCCGGATCAGCTAGTATACGTATATTCCTTTAAAGTCTTCCACATTCGATAAGTAAGAATAAAATATGTGGTAGAATAAATGAAATAAGGTATGCGAGCCCCTAGGAAGTATGAGGATATTTACTGACCATCCCGAAGGTCCCCTGCTTCGACTTCTGCAATCCCGTTGACAAGGGAATCCAGTCCCTCATTTTCTGAACGTGACTTGTCGTGGGAGTCTCGGGTACGCCAACCGCCGCGGGCGAAGTTGTTGATGTTCGCTGATGGATCGCTGAGGCGACGCTGTAACATTAAGAGGAGTTTCCTCTAAATGTACGAACACACATTAAGCAATAACTATAATAATCCCACACAAGGCCGTCTGATCCCAAACTAGGTAGACCCTGTACTATAGTAACCAGACTGCTGATAAACATACATTTTATAGATAAATGACACCCTGATACAGAACAAAATGGCTCATCATACAATTGTTTGTCCTCGGTGGGAATCAAACCTACGCCCTTTGGCTTAGAAGTCAGGATCATTAACCACTATGGTAACAGGCCAGTCTGAGTCAAATGTCCTCAAACTCTATCTTATTAGAAGAAGGCTCGGAGTTTCCGTCAACAGCCAGTTCTACTTCAAGTTCAGTCAGTTCTTACAAGTATACGACCCTGGTCTTCTCGAAGCTACTTCCTATACTCCTCAGTCCATTCGTATGAACAATAATAATATTAATATAATTTTGTACCACATTCACACAACGCCATCTAGTCCCAAACTAAGCAGAGCTTGTACTATGGGTACTAGACAACTGATATAAATACATATATACTTTTTTTTTGTAAATACATACTTATTATACATAGAAACACCCAGACCAAATCAAACATTAAATGTTCATGCACACAAATGTTTGACTTGAGTGGGAATCGAACCCGCGACCTTTGGAATAGCAGTCCGTTACACAAACCACTACGCCATTCGGTCGTCCGAACAATATTCGTTTACTGCCATTGCCGTGCCTTCTTGCCTGCCTTTTGATTTCAAATTAACCTCCCAATTTTCCCATCTAGATTCTCAAGTGTCCGATTGACGCCAATAGGCTTGCCCCTATTAAGTAAGTGGGCCTAGTCGGAAAAATATTGGCGATTATTAACCCTGTTTACCCCTTGAGGGATATAGACGCGTGTTCATGTATTTAATAATAACTAATAATGTTCCGGGACATATTTACTTATACATATCAACACATAGAAATATACAAGTAAGATAAAAAATACTGAGCTGGAATCGGACCCGCATCGATTGACATTGTAGTTTACAGTGAAATTAGTCTCGAGAAATTTTTGCATATGTAGTGGTGTGTATATAACTCAGATCTTAGAGCGCATTTCCACTCTATCGTTCTGGCCTATACAAAAATGTTTCGATATCCTAACATTACTATTTAATTTTATACTTATCCCTAGCAACACTCTGATTTTTGTTTTCAATAAAACAAGTTTTTATTTTAAAGAAACATGTTTTGACTTTATAAAAAAAAGGTGTGTGTGCGATTCACACACGATAGAAGTGAAACTTCAAAGAGGAGAGACCGATATTTTAATTTTTTTTTTTTCCTTTCATCTAGGTTTTTAAAACTCCGGGGGGTCTACAGGGGGGTCAAAATTTTTGTTATTTTTGGCCTAGGACGCACCGTTTCCGAGATATTTCAATCTAAAGCAAAAAATCGTCACTTGATAGTGGAAAGTGGAAACACGCACAAAACCAGAATAAACCAGTTTACGCTGTCCGCAGGTGTACACTACTACAAACGCAAAAATTTCTCCAAGCTAATTTACCTGTAATACTCTATTACCGGGTCACATAGGCCAGAACTTGAAAACTGTACGGACATACTGACCTGGTGTCTATACATGAACATCTCTTCAGGGTCTTCATCCCAATCGCTGTCCCACATGTCAGTGGCTGACAGTCCAGGTTCCGACGTGGGTGTGTCAAGACCAGCTGTCCGAGGTCTCGACACCGCCATCTCGGCGTGACCCTTGCCGCTTGGCCCTTTCATGCGTACGAACTCACAGCGCGCGGCAGTTTTACCTCCAAGAAGACCAAAGGACATGCGTTGGGCCACCTTCGTGGATAATGAGGTTTGCTGGAATCCAATATGACAAATAATATTAGAACAGCAGTAGTATACAGGTGGTGCTGAAGGTATTGATCATATTTTTAAGGTTGTATAGTGCACCCCGTCAATAATGTGTTGCCCTAACAGTTTAAGGAAAGTTTGCGACTTGTTGTTGACTTAGGTAACCACCAACAACTACCTTTTTTATGTTAGAGGGGGCAGACGAGCAGACGGGTCACCTGATGGAAAGTGAGTACCGCCGCCCATGAACGTCTGCAACTCAGGAGTCAGAAACGCGTTGCCGGCCTTTTAGGAAGCAGTACGCTCTTTTCTTGAAGGTTTGAAGGTCGCATCGGTCCGGAAATACCGCAGACGATAAATCGTTCCACAGATTGGTTGTGCGGGGCAATTTAATCTTTTTATTGATTTGATACCTCTAAATCAATTAATAGTAATTAAATAGTATTTCATACAAAAGTGTAGCGTTTTGACGTTTAAAAAAGACACTAATTTGACTTGACAGTCATCCACCCTATTGGTCGTTAAAGGTACGTTTGTAAAAGACTGGCAAACTAAAACTATGGCGATTTAATACCAAGGATGTAGATGGAATGTAAAGATTTTTTAGAAAATGTCTACATAAATAATCACCTATGTCAGAAATAGGATTTTCCACCTAAAAGATTGTATTAATTTTATTTCAAAATGCCATTTTCTTCACAACATTCCTTTACACAGAACTTTTGCTTGCGAGTTTGTAGCTAAATACTGTAGATTTTGTCAATCAATTCAGGTGCCAATAGCTACAGGAATAGCTAGAACCTGCTCCCTACCTAGGATTAGTAACCAACTGAAAAATAAAACAATTATAATGTTGTCTGTACCCACTCGTGCAGCAAGAAGTACACAATAAATAGGCTCGGCTTTGTCGCTGTTCACTGAACACGACGACAATAGTTTTGGTCACTTGTCAGTGTTACCATCGGGCGCGTTTTGATATTACAAGTGACATGTCAGCCTTTAATAGTTCACTGTATGACATAGGCCTCTCTAGGAGGTTTTGGTTTACTATACCACGCTAGCCAGACATATAAACACGTAACTTATAAACAGCTATCTGGAATACACCTTTATTATGTAAACATATTGTGAACACGAAACATTAACACGCCATGTCCATGCGAATAGGTGATAGAACAATGGCGACACAGTGTGATACCATCAATCGTCGTGACATTTATTCTTGTTTAATTGATTACATGTTACATACTGTCCGTGTGGTGACGGATTAAGAATACGGAGTGTCACCACCCTTGTTCATCCCGTGGGTGTCGTAAGAGACGACTAAGGGAGCAGGACAGCAGCACTGCAAAGAGAAGGAAAACCTGACACGAACCGTAAACCAACCCCTCTGGCCAGCGTGGTATAGTATGCCAAAGCCTTTTTTCTAAGGAGAGGCCTATGTCCAGCAGTGGACTGTTAAAGGCTGTTGATGATGATGATGATGAGTTTAATTGTACACACTGTGTAACCAGTTCTTATAAAATAGCTATGTTAGGTTCCTGTGGTTGTATAAAACCTCTGTCCGCTAGATAAGCTAAATAGAAAGTTGAGACGCCTTAGACACGGCCGTCTGATCTCAAACTAAACAAAGAAATGCTGATAAACATACTTATATATCACACTAAATCAATATATATATTACAGTTAAGTTACACCCAGACACAGAACAAACGATCGTGCTCATCACACAAATGTTTTTCCAATTGTAATTGAACTTTACGAACTCTTGCTCAGCAGTCACGATCATTAACCACTCGACCAGGTCATGTATAAACTGTTGGAATTGCGGTAAAACTACATAATTTATAAATGTAAATCAGACTCAATGTCTTTATGTCAAAAACTGCTCAACAATTATAAATAAAGGCTAGGCTAGGCTATGTATATCAACACACATACTCCTAAGGCCACTGCATCAATGTCAGTTTTGGTGATGCTATTGTGTTTAGGCTGAGCTTACCAGGAGGTGGGCGAAGATTTGTTTGTTTTAAATTTAGTGATATGAACAAGAAGCTTTAGAAGGTCAAATATAGAAGTGTGTGAAATACTTTATTAATACTGAGATGGGCGGGTGTCACCCACTCTAATTTGAGATTATATTTTTATAGATCGCGATGGGGGCTTTTCCGCACAGTTTACCACATTAATAATTTTATTTTAAAAATTGCCCGGGTCCTATCCGATCTTAGCTTGATATTATGTGGCTTATCCACAATAAATGAGATTTAAATTCTTGAGTTTAATGTGTTTAAACAAATGCTCTTTTATTTAAAATCCAGTTTTAAGATCGATTCCGAGTATTTTACTACAAATAATGACAGACATACAAGTATTTAAAAGAGATGGTATTTTTAACCACTCAAGTAAAATTAAAACTTGTTTTCCTTAGTGGGCGGAAGCTTCTAGACACTGTTTCTAAGTATGTCGCTATTTTTACGGATGATGAAATCTAACCAAATCTATGACCTTGCAGCGTCTCAAGTTGTTTGTACAATCTTATTACTCATTCAAAAATTAAAGAAAGAAAATGAAACAACACAAAGGTGAGTCGCATAGCGGACTTTGTCCTTAATGACTAACAATAATATATACACAAAAGATCTACTCCAATTTTACGAAAGTAATAGTCGGTCATCAACCTTCGTTCAGTTGCCAACTTACTGTTGTTTCAAAACCTCATTATTATTGTCAGTAATTGATGAAAATTATAACAAATATAAATAGAGAATTGTATACCAGCAGTACTATTTATCTCCTCTCGCTTTCTTGGCTATGGGAGTAATTTCACGAAAAGGGACGGAAATGTGTAACAGGAAGCCCAGGACCTGCGCGCTATTTGATTTTAACTCGCTAGTAGAAGTAAAATAAACTTACACTAGGCTCTGAGATATTACACATCACAATGCGACTAGTAAAGCTTGCTCTTTTTTTTTGTGACACGACCATTGTCTCGACATGACGAGATTGACAATGAATGCAAATTACTCGTCTCTATAAATATTGAAATGAGTGTTTTTGTTTGTTGACAAATAAACTTCGAAGTACAAATTCATATTTTAATACGTATATATTGAATCGCTTATATTGGCTGTCATTATCTAGAATTTATTTTCTTTGTTTGTTGTTGTTTAGTAAATTATGTATGTTTTGATTTGCATCTTGATCTATGTTTATTGCTTTTTGCTGATTTCATTTTAAAAGAATACAAGGCCCTGACTTTTTATTCACAGGGGTCAATTGTACCAATTAGTATGGGATCATTGTTGTTGAAAGCATTATTTTAAACTATTTGCAAGGCAATAGATAATAATGTTTAATGAAGCAATACGTTTTATACATACGTATGTGTATTAAAAACTGGGGATCGCTTCGTTACGTTTTATTTTTATTTTTGATTATTTCGTTGATCAGTATATCTTGAACTATCATTGTAAGCTTTCCGTGGCATGACAGATCAACATTTATACTGGACGCATTTATACTCGTAGCTCGGCACGGGTTTAGCAGTTTCAGGTAATTTTCAAAATTAATACCTTAATATAAGTTAAACAATAGTATTTAATTATGATTTAGTAAATTGTAATAGAATTTAATCGAGCAAAACTAGCACGGACTGGGTCTGGTTACAGTGAAGTAGGACAGACAAAAGGAGAGGGGGTTTATCGTATGGTCGCGACACCGCGACGCCTACGTTATTAAACAAATCAATTGTACACAGAATATTGTGTACATCTAAATGTTTATTACAGTACACATTACACAGTACAGTACACAGTACAGTATTACAGGCATCCCTCGATATATTTCCTAATTAGCTGGTGTATATAATAATATCAAAAGTGGTGCCTTAGTGGTTTACGGTACGGGACTACAGGCCTCAGGTTCGATTCCCGGACAAATTTTTATAGGGTTTTTATGAGAGGAAAAATAGACAAGTTACTCCTTATACAGACAGCTACCTGGTAGTAAAATATTATTAAAATCGGTTGAGCCGTTTTACAGATTACCCGGAACAAACACAGACAGAAAAAAAAACAGTTTTTTTTAGGCATAGATATCTTGCAAATAACCGTGTGAGCTTAAAAAAAAAGCTTATTATTTTTACATTATGAACAGACACTTCAGTTTTATTTATTTGTATATACGAGGGGTGATCAATAAGTAATGATAATCAATATAAAACAGAACTATTAGATTAAAAAAAGTATTTTATTTTTCAACATAGTCTCCTTGCAAGTTAATACATTTAGTGTATCTTTTTTCTAAGCCCATGATTCCCTTAGAAAAAAATTCTTTGTCTTGACCCTCCCAAAATGCCTCTACTGCGGCCATCACTTTACTATTGTCCTCAAATTTGTTGCCCCGGAGGTGTTCTTTGAGCCGAGGAAAGAGGTAGAAGTCACTGGGAGCTAGATCTGGCGAATAGGGAGGGTGTTCGAGCAGTTCGAACCCCGTTTCTTCAATGGCAGCCATCGCAACTGCGGCTTTGTGAGCCGGGGCGTTGTCTTGGTGAAACAGCACTCCAGCGCGCAGTTTACCGCGTCTTTTTGACTTAATAGCTTCTCGCAATCTTCTTATTTGGCCTGCGTAGTAAGAGCCTGTTATAGTGGCCCCCTTTTCCAAATATTCCACCATAATAATTCCTTCTGCATCCCAGAAAACAGACGCCATAACCTTTCCCACTGAACTTGACACTTTGAATTTCTTCGGCGTTGGTGAAGCTCGTTTCCAAGTCATTGATTGTTGTTTGGTTTCGGGATCAAAGTGGTGGATCCAGGTCTCGTCCATGGTCACAAAACGCGACAATAAAAATTCTTTATCGGCCTGGAACTTTTGAAGATTCACCCTCGAAATGTCGACTCGTTTCTTTTTTTGCTCGTCGGTTAACATTCTCGGTACCCAACGCGCAGAGACCTTTTTCATATGCATTTTGTTGACAATGATTTTTTGAACGCTGCCATAGG